GACCAGTGATACTCTTAAGGCATATTTTCTGTGGTCATTTCCTTATAGTACATAGCAAAGCATTATGAGATCAGGACGGAATGAAAGGAGCAAACAGGATTAAACAGTCGGTGAATATAAGTGGGAGAGTAAGAACTCAATGAGCTACCTGTGACAGCTATGAAATTTTTACGCTGTCAGAAGAGAGTGATATGAACAAGATCCCAACAAATACCCAAAGTTAGCTTCCGCCATTCTTCCAAATGCATTAAAATGTACATTTCTATCCAGCTTCTTGATTTGGCACACTTAACGAAGCTCTCCCACTTACTTCAGTCTGCATCCTTCTGGCTTCTGATATTTTTTTCCAGAAATACATTAAACAAAAGAATTGCACTTATAACCATAGAACATCTAGTGTAGTTCATCGACATTTTTTTGTGTGTGTGTGGAGAGATTTGAAAACATTTATACTTCTTTACTACTTTTTCATTAAATGTGCCCAGAGGCTTCTGAGCAATGGTTACATCTAATAAAAATTTGAGAGCAGTAGTGTATGTTAGTCAAGAATAGTGGATATCCAAGACCACAAGATGCTTATTAGAGTTTTATAACAAAGTGGTTATTAATTAAACGTGGCAAAAGGAAGCGTATGAGGGTTCAGGGAGAGGGGAAGCTGTCCAAGTGGTGAATTTATAGACTATATTAATAAATGAAAAAATAAGATAAATCAGTGTTAGACAAGGAGAAAACACTGGCTTTGAAATGCCGTTGAACTTATTGAGGCCTCTGAGTGAGATTCTCTGGAGTAGTACCTGAGAGTGTGGCTCTTTGCCTTCTGGCCATGCAGCTGAGTGATCAAAGGGCTGACCTCTGACCCAAGATGGGCTAAACTGTTACTTACTCCTTGGAACATTAAACTTGAACTGTGAGACATGGAGAGAAGTTCCTGGGCTTAAACCCGGTAACAGTGGTGCTCTAGACGAAAGATCAAGGAATTTCTACAGTCGTAATCCTAGAAGATGTCCTTATTCCTGCATTCCTTTAATTTTGGATTTCAGCTTGATCTTAGATTGCATGAACTAGTTCAGTATTTTTCCAACAGATGTCTGTGTGCTTAAGTTAGCTAGAATTTGCTTTTGGGTTGCTTGCAAGCAAAAAAAAAAAAAAAAAAATTGTATGACGTTTTGAGGTCAATTTCATCTTTCATTTTGATTCTCATTCAATCAAAAATGCCAGATATTTTGTTAGTCAGGAGGGATAGAGTGGTGAATGAGATGAACATGATTGTTTCATGGAGCTTTCAGACTAGCAGAGAAAGCAGACACTGATAAAGTAGATGAAGTATAGAAATGGAAGGGTTTTTTTATTCATTCATCAACAGACATTTATTAAGCACCTATAATCTGTAAGGCGCTATTCTAGACTGTCGGTACATCAGTAAAGAAGACAAAGATCCCTGCCGTTGTATCTCTTAGCAGGGGATGAACACGGTAAGCCGTAAACATCGAAGTATATAAATAAATAACATGGACTTAGAAGATGGTAAGTGCTATGGGAAAACAAATTAGAAAGGAGATCGGAAGGAATGGTATATCAGAAGGCCGGGAGGCCAGAGAGAAACGGCAGGTTGGAGAAACTGAAAGATTATTAGAGTTAAAATAGTGACAAGGCAGTGGCTCAAAATGAAAATGAAGAGGTTAGCCAAAGTAGATTGTTAAGGACTTTATAAGCCATTGGGAGGATTTTGGACTCATCCTAAGACAATCCAAAGCCACTTAAGAGTTTTAAGCTATAGACTGACATGATCAGATTTGCATTTTAGATTTATCATTCTGCCTGCAACCTGGAAAACACACTGAAAGCAAACAGTAGTGGATGGGAGAGAATAATTGGGAAGCTCTTGTCCTAGTCCAAATGAGAAATGGTGATGCTCTTGACTAGCATATGTTTCATGAATTGGAAAACAGTAGCTGTGTTAAAATGGCTGTTATTGAGGCTTAGACTTTCAGCTTCTCATATTTAGAACAAATTAATGCCTGTCTAGATTTATCTTCTGTTCTTTGGGCTTTGATGCTATATAAAACCAATCTGAAACGCTGACCACTTTTTCACTGGCTTCATATCCATGAAGTTGAATTATGCCTCATCTTTAGGAACAAAAATATGGCAAGTGGATATTTAAGGGGCCGTGGCAGCCGTAAGACAGGCATTCATTCTACTCGCTTGCATCTGTACCTAACTAGCCATGTACCGTCATCCTCAGATTCTGAGAGAACCAGGGCAGGGTACATGCAAACCAGGAATACACAACTCCTTCATCAACAGGGCCTTCCCCTAAATTCTCATATCCTTTTCCTCCCTGGTGAGATAGTGTAGATGATGTAGGAGAAAACCACATGCTCTTTTTACCACCCCACCATTGGGTTTAGACGAGGGGTTACATTCCCGTAAGCAGTGGGTCGTTTCACCCTGCTAATTTGTTGTGACTTCTTGTTACACGCATGTAGTATTTTTTAAAGGCAATGCAACTAAACAAGTGTTACACTTGCTTCCTGCACTTAACAATACTGGTTAAGTTCGGCACTTAACCAGCATCATGGGTGGCATATGTTAAGGTTATGCCCCTCTGTAATTATTTGAAATTTCAATTTCCAGCTTACATACTAATCCCAAACTAAGCGGTCAGACGTTTCTTCTTGCCTTCGAGCTGTGTCTAGCTCAGGCTCTCTCAGTCTCAAAGATGAGACAGAAATTGTATCTAACCTTCAACTCCTTTGCTTGCCAGTCCCAAATATAACAGCAAAAAGAAAGAGAGACTTTTCAATGTCCTTATCATCCCTCCAAAACTTTCCCCTCTCATTTCTGAAGAGACGAGTACCTAGTACCACTTTTTACCATATTGGAACATGGTTCCCTGCGGTCCAATTGAGTGTCCTTGGTTCTTGAGACATCTGCCTTTCCTAAGGAAGCTGGGACGAGGAAATGGAGCTTAGGGATATGGTTTTTAACTGTTCCCATTGCAATACCTTATTATAAAAATGTACTTTTTAAACATGGGTTCCCATCTTGTATTACTTTTTGTCTTGGAGTCCCTCATGCATTACTTTGCATCTTGTTTGAAGTGAACCATTTTAAAATTTATATCCTCTCCTACTTTTATTGCAAGAACTTTATTTAAAATATCTTTTTTTTTCCTCTTGCCCTGCTCAGATATGCATGAACATTTTATGCATTTCACACTCTTTAAGATAGAGAAAATAATATGCTAATTTGAATAGCGGTAAAATCAGAGTCAGAAGAGAGATTTTATTCTCAGAGAGTGGACAGTGCAGCATCTTCTTAGGGCTATCAGTTATCTCCATTGTTAATATAAATCACGCAAAAGACATGGATTGGTAAAACAAGGCAGTAGGAGTACTCTCAGTTGGATGGAGCCAGCACAGTGGATGTGTGCTCGTCGAGGACAGGTAACCTGTTCTACTCCATTTCCTATCACCTGCTCCACCCAAGGAGTCATGCATATATACATACCAGTTACTGAACATGTAGTTAGATGAGTAAATTGAAATAATGATAAATACTTATGAGACATCTAATACTATACTTAATTTTACACAAGGGATAGTGAAAGAAGAGATTTTGACTAGGTTTTAAGACTGGGTTATGTCACTCTAGGGCAGGTATGGGGACACCCCCAAGGAAAGAAGTACCTAGGAAGGGAGCTGCTGGAGAGAAGACTAGAATTCAGACAAGTGGTCCTCCAATTTGAGTATGCAGAGTGCTAGGCCCTGCCTCCTGGGAGTTTCCGATCCAGTAGACCTGAAGTGGGGCTCGAGAATTTGCGTTTCTCACAATTTCCCTCCCAGGTGATGCTGCTGCTGCTAATCCAAGTAGCCCACTTACAAACCAGAGAATTAGACCTTGGAGAGCTGGCTCCGCTGAAGGGACCTGGACAGGCTGCTTGCTGTGTGATCTGCACAGAAAAGGGGTGATTTCAGACATGTCTGAGGGCAGTATCGAGAATAGTTTTAAGTCTTGCCTCCTCTCGATCAACAGGACCGATGGCTACACTCTGGCAAGAAAAGGAGAGGATGGTTTTACAAACTCAAATGAGAGTTAAAATCAGCTGACATAAATAAGATGGAAGATGGGATACATGGAGTCAACTTAGTAATACTTTCAGCGAAGTTAACCTAATTTAGCAATGTAAGACCATGTACGTATATATCTAAGCTAATTTATATATAGGTTATTCCCCGAAATATCCTTACACTGCAAGGAAAGTTGATGCTCTTTAGCTGACTGTGCAGACGTCAAGGTAAATGGGAAAGGTGGAGAAAGGGCAGCCCAAGGAGAGAGAAAAGCCCATTCATCCTAGAGAAAGCATTTAGGAGAAACCACTCCCACCCTTCCCCCTTCCCACTCAGCGCTGTCTCTCAGGTAAATAACCTTAGAAGTTTCTGAAACCGTGGCAAGGGCTTCAATAGCCAGGGGTCCTGGGAACACATCTCATCTTATTGCAGTATTGAAATGGAAACTACCTAAAATTTAGAACTGATTTCATAGGCTTTGTTGTGTTCAGCTAATTAGGTTCTTGCATTTTAAAACTCGACTCTGAGGTTTTCGCATACTTATCTGTGTTTCTTCCACATGAATTTTGTATAAGGCAGGAATCATTTAGGACTCTGGGTGACGTTGGCATCTTTTTCATTATAGAACTTCATGACTCAGGTGGATTTTCTCAATTTACCAACAAAAAAGGAATAGAGATATTACATTAAAATGAACTGTGTCTTTAACAAAATGATCCATTTTGGTAACCAAATGGCCAGTTGCTCGTATTTAATTTAATTTTTGTTAATTTGAAAATATTACAAAAAGTAAACGTGCTTAGTGATCCTTCCAAGGAAAGGCTCAGCTCATGTTTAATAAAACCACATAAAATGACTCTGGAGACCTTGGCTACACATCTAGCGGTCAAATATTTCAATGCTTCGTTGCTCTCGTTCCTTTTACAGGTACATGTGACAGCGCTGCAGCTATGAGCGGAATTTTAAAGAGGAAGTTTGAAGAAGTTGACGGCTCCTCACCCTGCTCTTCTGTTCGGGAATCAGATGATGAAGTTTCCAGCAGTGAAAGTGCTGACAGTGGGGACAGTGTCAATCCATCCACCTCGAATCATTTTCCCCGTGAGTACGGAAACCATACCTGAAGCTGCTTGTCCGGTTCTGCAGAGAAAATAATTGTGTTATCTTGGTCATTTTTTAAAACCTTTATTACTAGTTTTGTTTTGTTTTTGTAATTGACTACAAACAAGGCATGATTAAGTAAAAATGAAATCTCTTTGAGGTAGGGGTAGATTCTTCTATTTGGATTGCTTTTGGCAGTGGATTATTTGACAGTGTTAATCAACTGACTCAATGAAAACAATGATATTTTATTATTATTAATTTTAAGGAAGCACCCTACTGAGAGTAGATAGAGAAAGACAAGTCCAGGCACAAAAATGTATCCTCCCATAGCTGAAATGATATTCGGGGGGGGCGGGGCGGAGAAAATGGATGTATTTGGGAGTGGAAGGTCTAGGTTATGATGAGAAAGAGCTTGCCAGCATAAAGAGATGAGAAAGCTGCAAAACTCTCCCAAGTGGTCAAGTGCATGCAGTTTATACTTTTTTCCGCCCATTCTTTTATCCTTCATCCTCAAGAATAATATGTAAAGCCCACAAAGAAAAAAAGAGTGTATGCCTTCTCAATGATTCCTTTTTCTGCCACACTGTAACGTGAGCCCTTCCTGTCATGAAAAGTATTGTGAAGATTGCAGGACTGATGAGAAAAATTCTTAAAGTAATACAATCTACAGGTTAAAAGGAACTGACTAGTAATAGCTAAAAGATCTTCTTATATTTATGTTTCCAACAGGAAGATTTTACTATATCATGATACCACGGTAGATAACTAGTCTTAGTTTTTCCAGTTTTCAATTAAGTGGCTATATTTTATTAATAGATGGTCTATCAAATAGAATTTACTTTGGAAATGGGACAACCCAGAAAACCAAAAGAACTAACAATAGTTTTAAGTGGGTAATAAGAATCTCAATAAAACTGTTGAGTATGAAACAAACACACTAAAATCAAAAGCATTGCCTTAAACAGGCAAAACTAATAGAAAATATAATGAAAGGGCAATTACAATGATCATAGCAGATAAAAAAACCATAAAATATTCAGGGACAAGGTTGTTGTGTAATGTAGGGGATCTGCAAATACACTTACATATGTCATGATGATATGAGGCGAGGTTTTGTTTTTGATTTAAAAGAAGATGCGTTGTACCTATTTGGTCTTAATATTAATAGTGATAATAGCAACAACATGATCATCTGATGGAATTTCATGAAGATCAACAGAACAAGTGAGATAAGATACATGAAAGAACTTGGTAAAATGTTAACTACTAAGCACATGTTATATTGGAAATTATGATCATAGCTAACATTTCTTGGGTACATAAATGCTCCAATAGCTTTATATACATTATCCCTACTCTTTGCATCAATTCTGTAAGTACCACTACCTTCAATTTAAGAGGAAATACCTGAGGCTCAGAGGCTAAGCATCTTGCCCAATATCACACACGATTTGAGCCTAGGTACATATGTGTATGTGCGTGTCTCATTCCATAGTCTTCACTTTTTTCATTACCTCATGCTTCCCCTTAATTGTATAATATTGGACATATCTTTAAAATGTTGTTTATTGTGAATTATAAAAGAATTAGGTGAATTAGTAAAGAGATGAGTTATGTTTTTGGATATAAAGATAAAGTTATCAAAGCTTTCCACGTTAATTTATACATATGAGTATAATATCAATAAAATCCTCAAGGGCATTTTCTTAGAAGGCGATAGAATGATAAAAATCTATTTGGGAAAATAAGCTAATGAGAATAGAAGTATATTTTTAAAAAGAAACTATAAATGTTGAAAAGCCATTCCAGATCTCAAATCATAATAGAAAATTATATAACTTATCTTTTTTGAAACTCTGCTAGATCTAGGAAAGTATAGAAAAATCTCAACATGTTATATGTAAGAGTTTAATGTAAAAGCAAAGAGCATTACAGAGCAATGGCAAAGGGAAGAAGTATTTAATAAATGGTTGTGGTGTTAGAGTTTGAAAAAGAAGTAATTTAGATACATATCTCACAACATAAGCCAAAATACATTCCATATGGATTAAATAGATAATTTTAAAAAATCAAATTATGGGGATATTGCTTATTTATCAGACACTTGGTAGGATCATTACCTGAGCTTTGAAGTAAGAACAACAGAAAAAACTCACATTGCAAAATACTTATAATAAATACATTATTTATTATATTTAATTTAATAAAAAACATATGTAAATTTTTTAGAAAACCCCCAAAGGCATTCCACACAATAGGAAGTATGATTAGCGAACATTTGAAAACATTTAACAATAATAATAACAATTCAGACTGAAATAATCCTGATGATATTCCATTAGTATGAAATCACAGAAATTTCATCTCCATGAAATTAGCACTCCTCTCTCCAATAAAAACTACTAATACCTAAGTGCTGGTGAAAGTCACAGTATAAATCATAGGTACATACTTTGTGAGTGATGGCAGGGAAATTTAGAAAGCACTGGGTTAATATAAGAGCCATAATAATATTCACATCTATAAGTCTGTACTTCAGATAATTTACCTGAAGGGGGAAACATCAAAAACAAGGGGAAAACTACATAAGTGAAAATGTTGGTGGTTAGTACCAAAAATGGGGGTTAAAAAAAATGGGGGTTAGAGGTGGAGAAGGGAAAGATAACATGTCTCAGAGAAGGAAAATGCTTTAAGTTATGGTGACCTATACAATTTATTTTCATGATAGTTATGAAGACCTTATGACAATTATTTAAAATGCTCATGAGATAATGTTAAGAAAAATCAAACACAAAATCTTAACTTATACTGTCAGGGAAAATCTAGTATGCATAAAGGCAAGGAATGGTATGGCACCCTAAACAGTGAAAATGATTTGATTTTTTGAGGTATTAAAAAGATGGATGGCTTTTCATATTTATTAATTTAAAACAAACAAGTTTTAAATTTAAACTAAAATGATAACTGTAGTTCAAATTGTGTTTGTATATGTGGACAGCAGATTGAAATGGCGTGATCAGCTAAATCATTCAATACTGCAGCTAAGTAGTAAAAGCTTTTATGAGTTAAGTCTGACAGAAATGATTTCTCCTATTAAAGAAAATAGACCTATTTTATGATGTCCAACAAGTCATCAAAATGGGGGCACCTGGGGCTGGCTCAGTCGAGCATGCAACGCTTGATCTCGGGGTTGTGAGTTTGAGCCCCACATCGGGTGTAGAGATTACTTAAAAATAAAATCTTAAAAAAATTAAAATACATATTTAAAAAGAGAAGTTATCAAAATATTTCAGCTCGTCATTTATTATCAGTGGTAGTTGGCAATATGTTAGTTTACTAAATCGCTGATTTAACTGTATTAAATGAAATCTGACAGAGATTAATTTTTAAAGATAATTAAATGATTAATTAAAAAGTGCCCTTTTCATTAAATAGTCTGCTCAGGTCACCATATTCATATTATGGAGAGGGGAGGAAAAAGTGGCAGGAAAAAGCACAGAATCAAGAGATAAAAATTCTACCTAGGATATTTATTTTGTGAAAGACCTGAGGATCTTAACTAATGTGAGAAGGGTAGTTGAAAGGCCTTCTTGTTTCTAGAAATGTATTTCAGATCATTCACTTGCCCAAAAATTTATATACGAGTTTTTAGAAAAATTTTTTTTCATCTCGATTAAAGTATGTACTTAGTGGCAGTGGTCTTATCTGCATGTAAATCTATGGATATAAACTTTTAGGAATGTTATCATTGGTGAATCCTGTTATTTAATATATATTCCACTTTCCAAAAAAACCTTAGAGTAAAGAAGTATTTTTGATGACTATCAAATTTGTGTAGCATTAGGAAACCAAATTTAGTTTCACATTGAGAGTTTTTTAAATGTGGTTATTTAAATCTCACCCATCATGAGCTCATCTTTCGAATTAAAAATATCCCATGTACTCAGTGCTTTACAGGCATTTACATATTGTGTAACATAACATTTTGTTGTCATTACAGATAGAGGCATTGATAAGATTGTTAGGTACGTGTCAGCAGCTATAGTAGTAAAAAATTCCATGCTATTCTAAGCTTTCTGTAAAGATATTCAATTTGCAGCACATCACATTATGATAACAAAAGCTTCAAAATATAAATCGATAAGGGAATTATGCCTTTTTCCATGGACTTCTGAGTTTTGCTGGCAACTCGCATGCTCACCTGTGATCAACCAAGGGCATATCTTATACTTCCCTTGAGATAGAAGCATCTGGATTCTGTATTGCTGTTGAACGCTTTGTTTCATCAAATCCCTGTGGCTCTAGAGCCAATCAGCCTGTACTTGAGCGCTGTCAAAAGGAAAGCTGCAAGAAGCTAGAGAGGAAGGATTTTTTTCCTGCCCTCTAAGGTTCTTGGCACTTCACACGAGTAATGAGAAGCTGTGTGATGAAGCATCCTCCCAAAAGGAACGCATTATTTTTCCTGAAACAGAGTGTTTCTGCAAATAAATGTACAGTATTTAGGAAGTGAAAATATCAAGAGGTAAAAGGATAGATCTAAACTGCGCATGAAAGCGGGTAGTCGAAGTCTCACATAGGGATACTATTTTATAATTGATAAAACACTTTCACATGCTTGAGTTCATTTGATATCCCAAAATTGTCGTGTAACCATTTTATAAAAGTAGAAATTACCATTCAGAGATGTATTCCTAATTTACCTAAGGGCTAAGATTATAATGTTTCCCTCCCTCCCTCTTTCTTTTCTTTCTTACTTCCCTCCCTTTTCTCTCTGAACCTGCACAGGGCATAAGTATGCTACCATGCTCACCCAAAAGGGCTCTTCCTCCAATGTCATTTCCCTCTCACTGACTGCACATTTCTTAATGGGATTAGAGATAAAGAATTCACAGAAAACAGATTTTACCATGAAACTTTATACTGGAAGTATGACTAAAACATACCTATTCTCTCACCCAAGCAGTTAAAATGCACTGAAGATTTAGATTCAGTTCCAA